AGTAGAGACGGGGTTTCACCATGTTGACCAGGATGGTCTCAATCTCTTGACCTTGTGATCCACCCGCCTTGGCCTCCCAAAGTGCTGGGATTACAGGCTTGAGCCACCGCGCCCGGTCAAAATTTCCTTAAATAACATATATCTTTGCTTTCTACATGTACTCTCTTCTTCGCTTAAGATATGGTAACCTCAGAATGTCAATTGTTTTGCACATGAAGAAAAACTTACATTCTGTGGAGGTGGAAATTCTACCGTGTGTTGATTTTGCGTTAGTAAATATGTAAACAAAGCAGTCTGAGTGTATACTTGAAATTCTAAGATACAAACCTGACATCTACCTTAAATCTTCATTTACTTGGAGGACAATGGTGGAAACAATGAACAATAACAAATCTGTGGACTTACAGTGTAAAATAAGAAGTTACTTAGGTTCTACAAAAATGGTTAGTTGGTTAAGTGATTGGTTGGATAATGAAGTGAGTGAATGAATAGTTAAGTAGTGAATACTCTTCCTTCTTCGAAAAAGGATCTAAGCCAGGAGTGGTGGCTCACACCTGTAATGTCAGCACTTTTGGAGGCTGAGCCAGGTGGATCATTTGAGGTCAGGTGTTCAAGACCAGCCTGGCCAACGTGGTGAAACCCCACCTCTACCAAAAAATACAAAATATTAACCAGGTGTGGTGGTGGGCACTTGTAATCCCAGCTACTCAGGAGGCTGAGGCAGGAGAATCACTTGAACCTGGGAGGCAGAGGTTGTAGTGAGCTCAGATCACACCATTACACTCCAGCCTAGGCAACAAAGCAAGACTCCATCTCCAAAAGGAAAAGAAAAAAAGAAAAAGAATTTAAGATCCTTAAGGTATTCAGATTTTCAAGGCCTCATGAAGGCTCATCTGATAATTTTTCCAGTGTTTTCAAACAGAAAAATATTACCATTGATTCTTACTTTTCTTTTTTTTCTTTTTTTTTTGAGATGGGATTTCTGTCGTTTCCCAGGCTACAGTACAATGATGCAATCTCAGTTCACTGCAACCCCTGCCTCCTGGGTTTCAGCGATTCTCCTGCCTTAGCCTCCAGAGTAGCTGGGATTACAGGCACGTGTCACCATGCCTGGCTAATTTTGTATTTTTTTTTAGTAGAGATGGGATTTCTCCACATTGGTCAGTCTGGTCTCAAACTCCCAACCTCAGTTGATCCTCCTGCCTTGACCTCCAAAAGTGCTGGAATGTATAGGTGTGAGCCTCCGCACTTGGCCGAGTCTCACTTTTCATTGGTTGCACATACACCTTTGCGTGGCAGTGGGTGAGGGGGGCACTTTCCAATGAAGACCAGAAAACCTGCTAGACAAATTCTAAAAGAACTGTAGCACTCATGCACCTTTCTTAGTAGTAAAGCATATGACATTATTCGGACAAAGCTTCCATGAAGAATAAAATGTTATATAATTTTCACTTCCATTTTCCAGAAGAAATTCCTTTCTGCCTGTTGTCTCCCTGATCCCTTCCTTCCAGATCTATGGTGCACTTGTATACTGACCAGCCACTTCAGATCATGTAGTTAAGAACAGCTTTATCTTTTCAAGGGATAAAGCTGTTCTTAACTACATGATCTAAAGTGTAGATCTGGGATTAGAGTCCACACTCTTACCCAATACCCTACACATTGTGTAATACTGTATAGGGTATTGGGTAAGAGTGTAGACTCTAATCCCAGTTTCTTGAGTTCACATCTTACTATCTTCCAGTTTGTGACCTTGGGCATGTTATTTAACTGTTCTCTTCCACCTGTTTAAAATGTAGATAATAATAGTCATTACATGATAGGAATATGAATATGTGCCTCTGTGCCTGTGTATGCGTGTGTGTGTGTGTGTTATCTCTGAAAAGAATCTGCACATGATAAGTGTTCAATATATGTAAGGTTTGATTATTCAACAGATAGTATTGAGTACTGGACCCAGGTAATACACTGATTACACCCTGAGCAAGATTTGATCCCTGCCCCTTTTTCTCAGAATATTTTTCCTGGTGCTCAGGTCATATTGACATTTGCTATGTTAATTTGGGTTTCGCATTTTTTACTTCATTTTGTAGTTGAAGTCAAGTGATTTTGCTGTTCTGAAGCAGTTGCTGCCTCTGTTGGAGAAGGTATCCAACACATACCCTGATCCTGTCATCCAAGAACTTGCTGTTGATCTCCGCATCACCATCTCTACCCATGGAGCCTTTGCCACTGAGGCCGTCAGCATGGCTGCCCAAAGTACATTGAACAAAAAAGATTCAGAAGGAAAAATAGAAGAGCCACAACAAAGCAGTCATGAAAGACACACTGATGTAGCTCATAGCCACCTTGAACAACAGCAGAGCCATGGAACAGCCCCCCAGCCAGGCCTGCAGTCAGATGCTCCAGTCACTCCTCAAGGAGTCAATGAGCCCAGCACTACTACAAACCAGAAATCTGGAAGCATAACCACAGAACAGCTCCAAGAGGTTCTTTTATCAGCTTATGATCCCCAAATTCCAACACGGGCTGCTGCCCTGCGTACTCTTTCTTGCTGGATAGAGCAGAGAGAAGCAAAAGCCCTTGAGATGCAAGAGAAGCTTCTCAAGGTGAGTAGAACACACTGTAAAGACACATGGGCACAGGGTGGGGCAGCCGTCCAGGAGCATTCATTTAACTCAAGTATTTTTGGAGCCTAGACTATGTGTCAAGTGCTGTTCTGGACCACCATCCAGAAATTTATGATTTCTGTTAAGAGGCAACACCTAGACACAGGAAAGACTTAAACTCCTCAATTGAATATGAACCGAATGCCAAAATTTTTGCACACAATAAATGCAGTGGGCAGTCAGGAAAAAGAGAAAGTTGAAATCTTCTGGAGGATGTAGGTCTTAATATGGCCCTAATAACTGATGAAGTTTGAGCAGATGAAAGAGGGGTGGGACAGCATGAGGAAATTCCCAGAGATGGGAAAGTACCTTTTGTGGTAAAAAGGTCTGCTTCGTCACTGCAACCCAGCCCAGATAAGCCACCTGTTTTCTCTGGGCACCTTGAATGGGGCAATGGGCAAAACTGGGTCTCCTCCCCTCTTCTTTCCCTTGATCATGGTGAAAAAGCTGTTGTTTTTTCTTTTCTCTTGTTTTTTGGTTTTTTTGCAAGAGGGTCTCGCTCTGTCACCCAGGCTGGAATGCAGTGGCATGATCTTGGCTCATTGCAACTTCCACTTCCTGGGTTCAAGTAATTCTTCTGCCTCAGCCTCCCAAGTAGCTGGAATTACAGATGCTCACTACCACATCCAGCTAATTTTTGTACTTTTAGTTGAGACGGGTTTCACCATGTTGGCCATGCTGGTCTTGAACTCCTGACATCAAGTGATCCGCCCACCTTGGCTTCCCAAAGTGGTGGGATTACAGGCATGAGCCACTGCACCTGGCTAAAAGCTATTCTTTAAATTATAGATTTATGTGGGAGAATTTGTGTGCTTAGCTAGGTATCTTTTCCCTTTTGTGGAAATTGTCCTGCCCTCAGTATAGCTTAGAGATTAAGAGCAAGGGGTCTAGAGACTACTCCCTGGGATCACATCCCAGATCAGTTTCTTAGACATTTGAACTTTCTGAGCCTCAATTATTATTATGATGATGATAATGATGATGACAATGACCTCTTCTATATGCCCTAGCCATTAGTTTAAGAATTATAATTCTGATTTAAACATTTATTTTTAATCAATAAATTATTGGAACCAATTGTATAATAATAATGACTGCTGTTTATTGAGCCAGGCCATATTTATAGATATTGTCTCTAATCCTCACAACAACTGCAGTATTAGTATTATCCCCATTTTACAGATAAGAAAAGCAAGGCACAGAAATATACCAAGGATTTGCTGTCACTGAAATATTACCAAAAACCTCAAATATATATCTTCTTTGAGTAATTACTTAAAATATTCTTTTACACACCTATTTGAAGGTGAACGCAATGAAGATCTTGGAATTTTTTTTTAGCTTCATTAAACCTTCATCTGCTGTACATAATTGGTTACCAAGTCCTGTCAATTCTTTTTTCCAAGAAGTCTTTCTTTTTTTTTTTTTTGAGTTGGAGTCTTGTTCTGTCGCACAGGCTGGAGTACAGTGGTGTGATCTCAGCCCACTGCAACCTCTGCCTCCCAAGTTCAAGCAATTTATTGTCTCAGCCTCCCAAGTAGCTGGGACTACAGGCACATGCCACCACACCCAGCTATTTTTTTCTATTTTTAGTAGGGATGGGTTTTCACCGTGTTAGGCAGGATGGTCTCAATCTCCTGACCTGATCTGCCTGCCTCAGCCTCCCAAAGTGCTGGGATTACAGGTGTGAGCTACCACGCCCAGCCCCCAAGAATTCTTTCAAATATATTTTATCCTCTTTATTTCCATGGCAATTACCCTAAATTAAACTTCCCTTACTTACTCTGTAAAAGATTCCCTACATTCCAACCTGGCCGTCTTCCTATTTGGGGTAATTTTAGGCTCTCCTTACATACTTAAGATGTAGAGACCAGCAGCATCAAGTTGATGTCAAGAATCACTGTGCCAGCAAAGAACACAGCATTATTTATGGAGCAGACACTTCCGTCTTCCTTTCTCTGGCTCTCATGTTGGGGTCTAAACCTAACATGTCATGTAGTATCCTCCAGATAAGCTGTATTCACTGTAGCTGATACCCCTGATAGGTTCCTAAATTATAAGATGTTTTGAGAGTAATTTGTTACTAATGTCAATTAAAGTGCTGAAATTTACAGGATTTTCAAAAATAAGTTAGATTCAAAGTTATCTCAATAATATCTCTATCGCACTTGCACTTCCATATGCTTTGTGAGTAAAAGAGAAAAGTATTAAATTGCAGCAAATGTGCCATCCATTGCACATAACCCCAAACCTTGTCTCTTGTGTCACAGCCTGTAGTCTGGCAGGCCGTATGTGAGAATGTTGTTCACCATGGCTGTCACTGAAAAATGTTGAGGATTGTTCTTCCATTGGTTTCCAGGACTATTGCTGGAAGAATATAAGTATCACCCCCAATCTCTACCCTTTTATTAATGGTTATAAAAATGGAACTTCAAACGTATAAGCCATTTCCCCCATAAAACTCTGTCAGACCAGTTCCTAGCTAAGACAAACAAGAAGCAAAGCATTTACGCTTTTGAACTGCTGGTAAGGGAGTCTCTTAAATCTTCCTTGTTCTTTGTAAATCTTATCACTGCTGTATTTTGTGGTTCCAGATATTCTTGGAAAACTTGGAACATGAAGACACTTTTGTATATCTCTCTGCAATTCAGGGTAAGTCAGTCCTGGTTAAAGGACTTTGAGTCTGTGGACCAAAGAATGTATCATGTTCATGTTTATTTGCACAAAATTTCTGAAGTCCTAGGGCTATGAGACTACATTTTGTCTACTTCCTGCCTCCTACCTAGGACACTTTAAGTCATAATAATAATATTCCTGGAGGGTTTCCAAAGGGTCCCTATAGAGTTTCAGTGTCTCATAATGATGAGGAAGTTTTTAGTATGTTTACTTATTCTATAGGTTAAATTGTATTTTTTCTAATTCAAGGAGGTAAAGAATGACTCACACATGAACTCTTATCACATAAACCTTTGATGTTAGTCAGCTACTGTCTCTCTCTTTTTTTGAGACAGAGTCTCATTGTCACCCAGGCTGGAATGCAGTGGTATGAACTTGGCTCACCATAACCTCTGCCTCCTGAGTTCTAGTGATTCTCCTGCTTCAGCCTCCCAAGTAGCTAAGATTACAGGCGCCTCCCACCACGCCCAGCTAATTTTTTATATTTTTGATAGAGATAAGGTTTCACCATGTTGATCAGGCTGGTCTCGAACTCCTAACTTCCGGTGATCCACCCACCTTAGCCTTCCAAAGTGCTGGGATTACAGGCATGAGCCACCACACTTGGCCTCAACTACTATCTATATGCACCTTTGCTCTCTTGTTAAGCTAAAAAAACCTCAGGTATTAAGTATTTTCTTATCAAAACATTTTTTGCAATAACTTTATTTCTCATTTTATGATTCTTTGTTGTTCTCCACATCCTGATTAACTTGTGGGCTCCAAATCTAGAGAGGATGTAGAGAATAAGGCACCCTTCCCAAAAGGGCCAGAAGCAGACATGGTGAAATCAGAGTTAACTCAGTTTCCCTTGGCTCCATCAGCAATATATAGTCAGCAGACCACCTGGGTGGACCACACTATTACCATGCTTTGGCAAATTACTTACTCCCTGTGGGGTTCAATTTTTTGTTATCTGTGAAAAAGGGACTAAATGGAAATGTAAAATGGTACTGCCACTTTGGAAAACAGTCTGGCAGTTCTTCAAAAAGATAAACATAGAGTTACTACTTGGCCCAGCAATTCCACTCCTAGGAATAGACCTGATAAATGAAAACATATGTCTGCATAAAACGTTGTATGTGAATGTTCACAGCAGTATTTTTCACAATAGCTAAGAGGTGGAAATAACTCAAACAACCATCAGTTCATGAATAGATAAACTATATGTGGTATATACATGCAATGGAATATTATTGGCCATAAAAATCAATGAAGGACTGATACATGCTATAACATGGATGAACTTTTAAAACATGGTGAGTGAAAGAAACTGATCACGAAATACTATGTTTTTGTTTTTTTTTTAAGACAGGGTTTCACCATGTTGTCCAGGCTGGTCTTGAACTCCTGACCTCAGCTGATCCGCCCACCTCAGCCTCCCAAAGTGCTGAGATTACAGGCGTGAGCCACCACGCCCGGCCAATACTACATTTTATATGATTCCAGTTATATGAAATGTCCAGAGTATGCAAATTTTTAGAGACGAAGTAGATTAGTGCTTGCCTAGGGCTGGGGTAAAGGAGAAGTAGTTGGGGATATTAGGTAAAGGATACAAGATTTCTTTTTGGGGTGATGAAATGCTACAAGATTCATTGTAGTGACAGTTGTACAACTCTGAGTATGCTAGGAAACCATTGAGTTATGTACTTTTTTTTTTTGAGATAGAATCTTACTCTGTCATCAGGCTGGAATGCAGAAGCGCGATCTTGGCTCACTGCAACCCCAGCCTCCCAGGTTCAAGCGATTCTCCTGCCTCAGCCTCCCAAGTAGCTGGGACTACAGGCACGTGTTCCACCACGCCCAGTTAATTTTTGTATTTTTTATAGAGACGGGGTTTCACCATGTTGGCCAGGATGGTTTCAATCTCTTGACCTGATGATCCACCCACCTCAGCCTCCCAAAGTGCTAGGATTACAGGTGTGAACCACCACACCCGGCTGCACTTTTTTTTTTTTTTTGAGACACAGTCTCACAGTGTCACTCAGGCTGGAGTGCATGGTGCAATCTGCCTCCTGGGCTGAAGTGATTCTTGTGTCTCAGCCTCCTGAGTACAGGCATCAGCCACCATGCCCAGCCGGGTTACTCACTTTAAATGGGTGAATTGTATGGTATGTGACTTATATCTCAATAAAACTGTTAACAAAAAATTAAAATAAATTTTAATAAAAGGGGAGAGAGCTAAAATTGTTGGAGCCTAAGGAGATATGATGACTAAATGTAATGTGATAGATGGGATTCTGAAACAGAAAAAGGACATTAGGGCTGGGCACTGTGGCTCACGCCTTGTAATCCCAAGCACTTTGGGAGACCGAAGCAAGAGGATAACTTGAGGTCAGGAGTTTGCAACCACCCTAGCCAACATGGTAAAACCCCATCTCTACAAAAAACACACACAAAAAAGTTAGCCAGGTATGGTGGTGAGTGCCTGTAGTCTCAGCTACTTGGGAGGCTGAGACACGAGATTCGCTTGAACCCAGGAGGCAGAGGTTGCAGTAACCGGAGATTGCGCCACTGCACTCCAGTCTGGGCACCGCACTCCAGATTGAGACTCCATCTCAAAAACAAACAAACACAAAGGACATTAGGGGAAAACTAAGGAAATTTGACTAAACCATAAACTTCAGTTGATAATAAAGTGTTACTATTATTTCATTAATTGTGGCAAATATACCACACTAATGTAAGATAACTATTCTGTAATAAAATGTTTATTTATAAAAGGGGGTTAATACTAGGATTAAATGAGTTAATTCCTTGCATTTGCTTAGCATGCAGTGTTTAATATGTGTTAACTATTTATACTTTAGTGTTGTTATCATCAGAATCATCACTATTACATCTACTGTTGGATGACTGGGTAATAATGTAGTGATCTCTGTAACTTGTCAGATCAGAAGCTTGAGTAGGCTGATTCTGTCAGTTATTGATATTTAACAAATTACTCTGTGGCTCACACCTGTAATTCCAACACTTTGGGAGGCTGAGGTGGGTGGATCACCTGAGGTCAATAGTTTGAGACCAGCCTGACCAACATGGTGAAACCCCATCCCTACTAAAAATACAAACATTAGCCAGACATGGTGAGGTATACCTGTAATCCCAGCTACTTGGGAGGCTGAAGTAGGAGAATCGCTTGAACCCAGGAGATGGGGGTTGCAGTGAGCTGAGATCGCACCATTGCACTCCAGCCTGGGCAACAGAGCAAGACTCCATCTCAGAAAACAACAACAACGAACTACCCTGACACTCAGTAACTTAAAACACCAATCATTTATTATCACTCACGCATCTATACACCCACTCTAGGTTCATCGGGGATCAGCTGGGTGGCCGGCCCCCTCCCTGCAGGTCTGCAGGCTAGCTGTGGTAGCTGTGCTTCGTGTATTCGTGATCATCCCTGAACCATTGGCCCACCAGGGCTTGTTCGCCTCATGGTGAGAACAGAAGTGTCAGAGAGAAACCATAAATTCCAAAGCCTCCTCAGGCCTGACTCAGAGCAGATATCCTATCATTCTGTTGGCTAAAACAAGTCATGTGGCCCAACCCAAAAGTCAAGGGATACAGAAATACATGCTGTCCCCCTTTAGTTGGACACACTGCCAAGTCACATAGCAAAGGGCATGGATGCAGTAATGCTATTCTTCACATAGATGTATTCTGTTTATCTCCCAGAGGCAAGGTTGTCAGTGAGCACAAAGGAAAGTGCAGGTTCTTACTGGCTAGTTCTTTCAGGGTATGATGTGGATATGTGCTATACAGATTTAGTACTTGAAGCTTAAGAGAGCATGCAGACAGAGGGAAAATCATATAGCAAAGAAGGCCTGAGCTTTGGAATTTTGGAATTTATTTATTTATTTTAGAGACATGGTCTTGCTCTGTTGCTTAGGGTGGAGAACAGTGGTATAATCATGGTTTATTGTAGCCTCAAACTCCTGGGCTCAAACAATCCTACCACCTTTGCCTCCTGAGTAGGTGGGACTACAGATGCATGCCAACACATCAGGCTAATTTTTTTTTTTACTTGTAGAGATGGGGCTCTCACTATGTTGCCCAGGCTCAAACTCCTAAACTCAATCCTGTTACCTCAGCCTCCCAACATGCTGGGATTACAGGCAAGAGCCATTGTGCCCAGACAAATTCTTTGTTTATTCAACAAACATATATTGTATATCTCCTATATACAAAACACTTTAGATTAACTGTGCATTGTAATTAGATTCAAAAGCAAAAAGAATTCTTCAAAGGAGACAAAATGACCACCCAAAGTGGTAAAGGACAACTAGGTGAGAACAAAAGTTCTGAGAGAAACTGAGATTTCAAGAGAGAAAGTAATTACTTGCAGCTGAGAGGCCAAAGAGGGCAGGAATTGAGATAGGTGTGGGAGTCCAGGAGGCCACATGACCATGGGTTGTGCTTGTGGAAGTCAGATAAATCAAATCAACGAAGCAAGAAACTAAAGTGGTTATAATTCAGAAGTCTCAGAACACAAGTCATCCTGTACTTTCCCCAAGAAATTGTAATACTGTCAAGGAGATGTTTTTCGTTGTGTTGTTTTTTTTTTTTTAAGACTGGATTTTTGGGAATGGGTGGCATGTCAATCTAATGTGGTCACCTTGCTGTTTGGAATGAGTGTCTTAACATTAACCCTCTAAACTCATTAGCCTCTAGGGTCTGCTATCAAAATCGCAACTGTTTGTGTTGTGTTTGTTTTTAGTAATTTTCATTGGTGTGCAAATCAGTTAGTAGCTAATTTGGTGATGAAGAACATGAGGGGTAGAGGTGTAATTTCTCTTCTCAGCTTCCCAAGATGATGGACAAGTTTGAACTAATTGATGTTTTTGGTGTTTATAATATGCACTTAAAAGCCAAGGCCTTAGGTGAGTTTCCCATTAAGAAAGAAAAGAGCTGAATTTTCCCACCTGCATTGCCAATGT